TGTGGCCAGCAACGCGTGGCTCCGCTGGCCGGCAGAGCGGGAAACGCGGGCACCGCGCCGTAACTCCCGCAGGCACCGCCCCAGCCCGACTCTGCCCGATGGAGATGCCGCAGGCTACGTTCGGAGAAGGCGTCATCACGCTGTAGCTGAAGGGAACCTTTGGTCTACTCCAGGTTGACTGGCTTCCTTCCCTCCCGAAACGCAAAGCTCCTTGGCACCGTCTGGAAGCGCTCTGAGGGGACAGGGAGCTTTCAGAAAGGCTTCTCAGTCTTTCTCTCTCCGGACCCTCTTGCCTGCCACAGCACATCATCAGCAAAAGCACCGTGGTCGCCTGCTGCGGTCATCTGCAGGACATGAAAGCTGGCTTCACTTGGGACGCATCTACTGGGGACGGCTGCCCACGCTGAAGGGACCACACTCCACACCGCAGCCCGGAGATGTGCAGATCTGAGAAAGTTCAGGCTTCCTTTCCTGCCCTCCCTCCCTGCTGATCTCTGCAGAGCAGCAGCATCGCTTGTGTCGTCGCGAAGAGCCAGCCAAGCGCTCGAGGCACCAGGTAGCAAACCCCTCCTCACCTTCCAACGGCGTTTTTCTGGAGGCCCCCAGGTGATGCTGGCAGAAAAGGAGGAAGAAGCAGCTTCTCCTCAGTCTATCTTGGTCTTAATGCTACAGAGATTCTGTATTTTTTTTATCTTTTTTTTTTTTTAACTGGCAGCTGCCCCACGGGTGACCCTGTCTTATCTTTACAGAATACCAGATCCTCATGACTGATTTCAATTATTTTTACATGCATAAATACAGAACAAATGGGTGCAGTAAATAAAATTAAATAAAAATTGACAAGATGCATTTATTGTTTTAGTTTTGTACAAAAGCATAACTTAAAAGGCAGACTAGTATAAACTGACTTTGTGCCAAATATTGAAACGTTTCATTCCAAAGAGTTTCTAGTTCAAAACTTGTAGGTACAGTTTCTACCTGGGAAATCTCCTTTTGAGACCACAGGTAACACAGTATTGTAAAATCAAAATTCTGCAGTCCTTCAACCCATCCAAAGTCGCATTCTGCTTCAAGTGCCAGATTTGTAGCTACTCAGTGAATGGATCATATGAAACACGAGCCATGCCGGAGTGACCCGATGACAAGTCAGGTTGCCAGACTGCTCAACCGTGTTCTGAAAAAAGATGTGCATTAGGATCTGTGACATGCAAGCTTAGCACAGACTGATAAATACACGTGTAAAAACAGGGTGACGTGTTTGCATTTTTCTTTGCTACTTCCTATCAACCAGAAGTAGCGTAAGAAAACCGGTGTTACTTAAGCGAGTCCCAGATGTCATGCAGAAGCTCAATTATTCCTGAAATAAAAGAACTCTTCCACTCTGATTTTGCAAGTGGGTTTTCCTTTGCACAAGTAACATCTCAGAAAGCCTGAAGGGTTTTCTCAGTCTTTGCCACCACCACGGCTGACCTGCCTCCCAGCGTGGAGGGCGGAGCGGCAGTCTTTGCCGACGCCATCCCCACAGGCGCTCACCTCTGCTGCAGAAAGCTCCCACAAGAACAAGCAGGACACCTCCCTGAGATGCCCTTCTAAGGGTCTCCAAAGCAAGAACGTCGCTTCCAAAGCTGCTTTTCCCACAGCTTGCTGTGCTTCCATGCTACCACGAGGGCCAGCGCAAAGCCAGATGCGTCTTCTTGTCACCCGGTATCCAAGCGCGACTTCCCGGGATTCTGAAGTGTGGCGGATGCGCTGCGGGACAGCAGCTGCCCGAGGAACGGCGCGCAGCTGCGCAGGTGTTCCCCAAGACCCTCTGGAGGAAAGTACCAAAGAGATGCGAGCAAGCCTCGTGTGTTTCAGCAAAACGAAGCACAAAGAAACTGGGGTCCATGCAGCGCTTGATCTGCCATAAAAACCTCTTGCAAATAATGTTTGATAAAAAAACTACTTATCAGTGAAAATGCGAGCTATGGACAGTTCCCATCTCGTAGGTGCTCACCAGTACGGGGCAGTGGCGTTGTGACCAGTGGCTCACCTCAGAGTAGGTTACTCGTGGGGTTCCGAATGAGCCAGTGTTTGATGGTGCTGTACAAACAAAAAGTTGTGGGGAGTATGTGAAAAATTCGTAGTAAACTCCAATGCACTAAGTTATCCAATGCATGAAAAATGACTCTGATGCATTTAAAATAAATGCATATTACAATATCACACGTAGTATTATAAAATTATTACTTATGTGCACAGTCCTGGTATCTGTAGACACGGCACCGTGAAGAAAGCCTGGTTCCTACGCGCTTTTACAGGTACTTGACAGTGATGCAGTTTGCTATCGGTCAGATCATGATGTCCCTTCAGCTTTGGTACATTCAGTGCAAAATACTTCTGGGAGTTTTTTTACTCTTATAAAAATAAAAGGCATTTTTTTCCCCTTGAGAGTGCTTAAAGAATAAACACTAGCAGAATGTCTGTTCAAGCATGGAAAGTGACAAAAGACCCGAAATGGCATTGCAGTTTGCTTGTTTCCTGTGTACGCTCTAAGAAACAAAATATAAGGAACTTATAAAAATAAACAGAAGTCACCGTGTTAGGTTTTTTTCCTGATATGCTGTGATAAATTGCTAGTTTCTTCTTAAAATAGTTTCCATGCAGTATAAAGCATAAAATCAGTCTTACGAAAGTTCATTATAATGGCTCATCGTTAGTCACACACCCCTGGCAAACCCATTTCCACGAACCTCCTCAGCGCAAGCCGCTGCTGTCACCTCCTTTGCTGCTGACGTGCCTTCCAGTTCACTGCTGCCTTGGGAACTGGAGCTCTCTGGTGCACACCACGCAGGCTCTCGTAATCTCAGGTACAGCAAGTACGGGATACGCTGTTACAACATATGGCATGAAGTAATGTACCTTCATGAATTAAAAAAAAAATGAACACATTGTACAATTTTTTGACCATTTCCTGGGTAGATAAAGGGCTGAATGATTTCACATTTTGACTTGAATTTTCTGCTGAACAGCTCTGATGCAATCCAGCGCTGGGGTACAGGTCAGTTTTGCAGTAGCCAGGCTGACCACAGCACGAGCTGACGCTTCTCCTTGGCTCAGAACACAAACTGCAGGCGTGCGGCCGCCCTGAAGAGCCGTGGCTTGCAAGGCTCCGTCTCCCCTGCCCGTCAGGCACACTCTGGTGGCACTGCAGAGAATTCTGCTGCTACCACAATGCTTTTTGCTTGCTTCGTAAGCTCTTTCACGGAACCGCATTATTTGAATTGCGCCGAAAGACCATTTTCCTCTAGGAAACCCAGTACAGTTCCTCCCTTGAGAAGACCGATCCACGAAAGTCCAGTGAGCTGGGCACTGTGGTTTGTGTGTCACTCCAGTCCAAAAGTACTCGTCTCTTCAACTGCTGTCAACAGTTTTTCATACAACATAGAGAATGATGGATAAGGGGGAAGGTCCAGACGATTGAAACAAGTGTGAGCCCTGAGGGGGAAGAACAAAAAGAGGTGATGAAGAAGTACATTATTTTAAAAGTTCAAAGAGAACACAGAGACTGGTACGTGCTTGCGCGGAGATGGGCAGACAGTATTCTTTCAGAAGACTTCTGTCAAACGAAGTTCTCCAACTGAACAGGCAGTGAGGTTTCATCTACTTTGTTCTAATTAAAATAAGCCAGTCAGAAGCATTTAGGAAGGTCTTTAGAAACACACGGACAGCCCAAAAGGCGTGGGATAAATTTTATCCACTACACGTGCATGAGAAAAGAATGATATAACATGGTAGAACTCCAATAGCCTGTTCTGAAATCTTCGCTTTAAAAGCGTCTTCTGAGAAGTAGTATTTTTTTTCTGTACTGATGATACTTGCATACTATATTTGTAACCATAAACAAGGTATTTCAGTACCCTGAATATGCATAAGATTAATTTGATGACATATGAACAAACCCTCTAGCTACACGGGAAACAGTCCCACAGTGGCGACGGACAGACAAATCAGACGCTCTGCCTTCTCCATTTCCTCGGCCTGGGGAGCGAGCTCTTGGGAAGGGACTGCTCGTGCTGATGCACCCAGCCCTGCGAGCCAGCCACCTTTAGCATAATCCTTCTTGTAATTACACAAAACTACGCAGGCACCTCCAGCACACCACCCTGCTTTCTTCCGAGGACACCCACGTGGGTTATTTCTCAGTTTCCATTCTCCTCAGTTTTTTGACAGACTTTAAACTGATTCTCCAAACCTCCTCCAGGAGTGAAAAGGGAGGCCACCAAGGTGCCCCCTCGCAGCAGAACCGTGGGCATCACTGCCCGGCCGCAGGGCAGGCTCAGGATAACGCCTTCTGAAACACGGCAGGGGCTGGGGCTGCTCTAGTGAAGCAGGCAGTGTAACTATCAATGTGATGGGCTCTGGAGGAAGAAATGAGGCGAAGAGCAGCTGGAGGAGGCATCTTTTCCACTATGAAGCTTTGTACCAAAGCCCTACCTTAGGCTGACTTTAGAGGATAAAAACCTTCTTGTATTATGGCAGGTCTCTGTTTACAAATACTTTATGCTTTTGTAATAAAACACATCACAGAGTTATTTAAATACAGTCCAGCTGAAAAACAAACTTTTCGGGCAGTGACCTGCCCTTCATCAGTATGACCCGCATTAAGTGTAGATGTATAAAGTCAACGGCAGGATTGCACAAGCTCCCTCCTCACAGTAAAAGCAACTCCTCGTTTCACTGAGCCACTCCCAGAAATCTGAGGGCCTGCAACAGACCTGCACCGAGCTTTCTCGGAGCCAGAAAGAGCTGCCTTCCATGGGAGCAAAGTTATTAATCGCCATTTCAAGTGGCTCTCAGCTCCCAGCTACGGGGACGGAACGTGAGGTGGATTAATCTCGTTCATTAAAAACACGAGTCAGTGACAAGCCCTCACTGAAGGCGAAACACCCAGTTCCAAGCCTTACAGTGCCGTAAAAATACCAGGCTGACAAAATGTACAGCCAGCACAGGTCACGCCGGTATTACACCCACGGTCCGAACGTCCAAGGCGCAGTCGCTGCCAGGAGCCCTGCACCTCGCAGGCTCCCCGGGCGCTCGGAAGCGCCCTGCCCGCAGGCACGGATCTCCCCAGCCGGTGTTCCAGCTCCTCCGTCCGGCCGACCCTCCCAGGCTCCCGGGGAAGGGCTGTCTTCCACTCCTTCACCTTCCCAAAAACCTTACACCGTACTGCCTGTGATACAGAGGATGCTACTGCGCTTCCTGCAGAGCACTTTAAAAACCAAACCAATAATAGTTTCCCTTTTGAAGAAAGAGGCTGACTGAGACCCAGCAGCACGCGGGGGCTGGAACTGGGTGCTCCTCGAGTCCAGCGCAGCGCGCGGCAGAGTCCGAGGCAACCAGCGGCCTCACCGCACGCTCCTCCTGCACGGGGCCGGCACGCGCCACCCCTGCCCTT